TGACTTGTAATGTGAAAGATGTCACTTGTAGTCACAGTGTCTTTGCATTGTATTTAGCATTTTCAATTTTTTGTTTTGACGGCTCACAGCTACTGTTTTGATCCAGTGTCTTATTAGCTGTCTGCTGATTCACCGTACTGTACTTCTCTTTAACAGTTTTGACTCACTTCAGTCTTAATAATCTGTCACTTCTATTGCATAGTGCAGAAGGTGTTTTCTTCCCAAGCTGCATTCATCCTGAAGCGTTTCTCAGACAGTGATGTGTGATTACTTCTGCCAGGTTCAATCACAGTCAGTGAGGTTTCAGCATCCAGCTGCAGAATACACAGCAGAGCCTGTTTCATTTGGCCAGAAACAGTTGTCAGCCGCTGTACCTTTGAGCTTTTGCTCTTTGCTTGTGTTGTTTGTTTGGAAAACTGTTCATGGGGTAACTAAAAGGAGCCTTAAATGTTTCTGTTGGCATGGACAAACATGTCAACAGGAGTTTGGCAGAGCAAGGAGAGTGAACAAATCAGGCTATACCTATGAATCCACATACCCCGGGCTCCACAGTGCACCTGACCTGCAGGAGTTGGAGCCAGACCAGGAGGAGTAGTTTGAGGTTTAACGACTCATTCTTTCTCTTTCTGACATCCAGCCATCACTTTCTCTCCCTGTGGGGAGCAGAGAGGTCAGAGCGAAGCTTTTATTCTGGCTCAGGTTTAGCAACATACAGCTCTGGCCTCCAGAAGAACTCCTATTCTCTCTGGCAGATGTTAAGGTGCTCTGTCGTCTCTCTCTCCTTTATATTGTCTCATCCTCTCTTGTTCCCATTCACTCCTGTCAGATCTGTCTTCACAGTGGCTGGTAAAATTACCTGGCAAGAACAACTCAAAGCACTGGACAGGGCTGATGTCTCCAGTGTCCCACTGAAGAGAGGTCCACTTTCTTGTGCCAAAGGGTCAGTTCTTACTGCATTTGGTGCACAGACAATTCTATATTATTCTATTTTTTTTTTTCTCAGAACAATGATTGTAAGATTTAATTTACAAAACATGGTGAACCCATTGTGGCTCGGTGGGTGTGCATTTTTATTTCCTGTTCTTGAACGGAATTTCAGCTTCACTATGGACTCGGACAAACAGTACATGTTTGCAACACTGTGGTAGCTGTTTTCACTCTGTTCTTGGCCGGACAGCTTGTGAAGATGTAAACAGATGGTTGAGTTTCTGGTGCTTCAGGAGAACTGACAGTTCACTTTGGGAAGCTGAATAGATGAATCTGGAAAATGTAGAAGCCCAGTGTAAAGTTGGAGATACACTGTGAGTAGAGAGGCTAAGTGAAGCCTTTTGTCATTTGTTTGTTTTATAATTTTATGGCCCTGACAGGCTTAACACTGCACTAAACAGTGGCTCAGCATTAAACTACAGTACATTTTCTGGCAGTTACATCGCTCATGTGATTCAGTTGTCCAGGTCTTATTTCTGACATACTGATAAAATGTAAACACCAGAGACAACAATAAAAACTGACAGTCTAATGTATTTTTTTAAACAAATGAGAATGTTGTCAACAATCCAAAACCTAATAGTTTTTAACAAATGTATTGTCCAGAAATGAACTTTCTCTAAAGTATCTAGTGAAAATGTTAATGACGCCAAAATACACTGTGGTTTGTAAATGAGGTTCCATCCAGTACATGACATAAGTAGAACAAAGATGGAACAGCCAGGTTAACTCGTAGTGTACTATTACAGGAGTGTGTTTCATCACTGGCTCTCCTATTTCAAGTGAACTGTTGTCAGAATTAAATAAAAACCATATTGCGCCGAGTGAGAGCAAAGCCAGAGCTGCTCTGCCACACCTCACTGAAGCTCCCTGAACATTAGGTAGAGGTCAGTGTTGTGTAAAACCTTCACTCACGATGAGGCACTCGCTTATGTAAATGTATTGTTATTCTCGTTCACTGGTCCTTTAGCTGTCATCAGATGCACACAGACCTTCTGCACACTTAGATTTATATGCAGCAGAGTGACTGGGTCTTTTTTGTGCCTATAGAATCAGTCATAGAATGGAGCCTGCTAGACAAAGGATGTTCATACTGTAGCTACAGCATATGTGAAACCAAACCAAGAAGTCTGTAATAAATTATCTGAAATGTTGAAAAAGAAATTAAAGACAAATATGAAGGGGGAAAACAAACTCTTTATTACACTTTAAACGTGTACAGTGCACTGCTTTTAAAATAAGCACAAACCATATTTTTAGACGTGAACTATTTTTCACTGAGGACGATGAAACTCCCAGGTGACTTGGCTGCATTCTGAAGGGAGTGAACCAGAGGTGTAACGTCCTTCATGAAGTACTACAGCATTTATCAGGTTTAGTGTCTTCGTGGTTAGATAGGCTGCCATTTGTCAAAAGGTGAAAACAGCTTAATTTTATGGCTGACGTTGACTGTTAACATTTTAACATCACATCCATTCATCACTTTGAAATGTGGCAACATTATCTTCTTTTTTTTTATTGCACGTTAAATGAATGTTGCAGCATTCAGAGTGAAATAAAAGCATCTGTGTTCTGAATATTTTATGTGTTTTGCATTCTAAAATTTCCACCTTTCCACTCAAAATAATTTGAGACCTAGATAATTTGTTCTTAAGTAACGTGATGGTTGCCACGCACAACAAAACCAGTGAATATAATCACAGCTAATGTCTCTGGCAGCCGATGCTTTAATAAAGCCATGTACACATAACCTGTTCCTGTCCAGGAAAATGATCATATGAATTAGTTTCTATGTTTGTTTGTGGACGTCAGCAACAGACTCCTGTTGTAGAATTCATGATCAGAACATAGAGATCTAAGGAAAATAAATACTCAAGTCATAGTCGAATTAGGTGTGTTAAGTTTGTGCCGCAGTAGAACATATACTTTAAGTAAATGTCCTTTTCATAATGCACTCTCATACACACACCCTCCTACACACTGATCAAACACTACACAGTGCTGCAGGATCACACACCTTTATCTTTTCCCACCCTGTCAGATTAAGTGTATTCTTGGAGAGGGAGCAGCAGCGTTGTCGGGACAGTGTTGAAGAGCTTGATTGAAAGGCTTCCGAGAATTCTCTGGCTTTGTTGTGCAGCTTCCCCCGCGCAGCCGCCGGAGGTAATGGCTTTAGCAGGGGCAGGTATACAAAGCTCCTGTGGTCACAGACCGGAGCTGTGCAAACTTTACTGTTGACATCTGGAATTTCTTTCCTCCCCATCATCCCATCATTTTTATTTTCTTCCTCCTCTTCTTCACCCCCCACCCCCCCCTCTTTTTTTTTTTTTTATGATTGACTGAATCACTGGGTAAAGTATCCATCATTGTGAAAGCATCCACCAGCTAAATATAGACATTTGGTTTCTTGTGCCTGTTATGGCTCTGCATATTTTGCCACACGTGATATTTTGGCATGGTAGTGCAATGGTTAGCGCCGTTGCCTCACAGCAAGAAGATTCCGGGTTCAAGCCCGGGCCGACCGAAGGCCTTTCTGTGTGGAGTCTGCATGTTCTCCCTGTGACTGCGTGGCTTCTCTCTGGGTACTCCAGCTTCCTCCCATAGTCCAAAGACATGCAGCTTAGGCTAATTGGTGACTCTAAATTGCCTGTAGGAGTGAGTGTGGTTCTCTGTCTCTAAGTGTCAGCCCTGTCCAGGGTACCCCTCCTCTTACCCAGTGTCAGCTGGGACTGGTTGCAGCCCCCCTGAGACCCTCATCAGGATAAGCATTATAGATAATGGATGGATGATATCATACCCTCCTCGTCTGTGGCCTTGGCTACACACTGAACCCCTACAGGGTTTTACTGGTGGATGTACACACAGAGTAGTTCTCACTGGCAGTTTCTCTCACATCACAGATACTTTGTGTCTTATCATAGTGCTCACACATTGTCACTCTACAGAGGGTGATGCCACCGGCAGTCTGTCACAGGCTTTGGCTTGTCTCAAGTACATCAGTACATATCATATCTGAAGAATCATCTAGAGTAACAAAGTGTAACCTTTGGTGCATTTGTCTTCAGGCCTTTTTATCCTGTTGTTTGCCGTCTATATATTGATAAAAAGTCCTGGTACCAGCAATGTCAAAAATGTTTTACTTAAAATGTCCACACAGTTAAGGATTTTAGGTTTCTCTTTCTCCCTTTCTTTTCTCAGTTGCTGGCCTCATGCACGTTCAGTTTACTCCACCATATTGTGAATATTCACTCCCAATTTCTAATTCTGTACGTTATTCTTTGTATTTCTTGTATTTCTCTTACTTTGATCTTCCAGTTTTTGAACACAGGATGATTTGATTTTGACCAAATCCTTGTTATTTGTTTCATGGCTGCAACTCTTAAGTATTTTAAAATATTTTTTTTCTAACATGCACTCAGATGGACACATCCCTAAAATCATACACTTTGGTTCAGGGCCTTGTTTAATTTTGCATATTTGCACGATAGAGGCTGTGATCAGTGGCCAGAATGTTTAAAGTACACAGCAGTAAAAGAAATCATGCGACAGTTTCACATATTTTCACCACATTTCCTTCAACACTCCCTTTCAGTTGATTTTATACAGTTTGATTATTATGGAGGATCTTGAGTATATTTTACATTGGAATTCCCTCCTGTGTTTAGAATTTCATTTTTGAGGCTGGAGAATTTGTTAAAAAAAAAAAAAGCTCGAGATAATCATCCTAATTTTATAGCACTTTGACAAGGCAACTCTAACTCAAGGTCTGTGTACTAGCTCTTTCTGGAGTATCTTATGCAAAATTACAGAGAACCAAAGTTAAACTGGAACTTTTTAGTTGCGTTCCAGAAGAAATAAAACCTCATTCAGAATCCCATTGAGGTTTCTAATCTGGCTAATAGCTAAAAATCCAGCCTTGGAACACAACCGTTCTCAGTAGAATGTACTATAATGATATATTTCTTTAAAATGACATATTATTGGCATTAACCTAATATTTCTCTTTTTATCAGGCTTTAATGAACACCATTTCCCAGAAGCCCGAGCCCATTGAAGCTGCAGTGACACGAGCTGATGCCAGCCGACTGGCAGGAGAATTGAACTGAGGTCCAGAGTCGAGAGATGGCTGTAAGTACTATTGTCTTATGTTTTTATAAAAGTGTTAAAAGAGGTGGAGACTAATATCAGAAACACACAATTAACCTTGTCCTACTTGGACAGCCGAAGTCCAGAAGTCTAGTAAATAACAGTGATGCATAATATGTATACTGCCATGCTGCAAAGCGATCACAGGAAGTGTAGCTTTTCTGATGCCATGAAAGAAAATCATTAATTAACCTTGTTAAAACCACAAAAGTTTACATTTTCACTAGTAAGTGTTGCATTGGTTGATGGCTTCTTTTAGAATATGAAAAAAAATCCCAAGGAATGTGCTTAGTTTTCTTACAGTGACAGTAGCAGAGGCTACCCAGATGTGTTGGCTTTCTATTATGGCCTATTACAAAGAAGAAGAAGTCAGTCCTTGACTCTAAATGCAGTCGATGCATGATGATGTCCAAGTCATTAGTGCTGAAGTCCAAGTTGTCACGAGTCCAGAAAATCAGTCAGATAAGACTACATGTAAATGTGTGAATGTCTAAGGTTCCTTTTTTGGATGCATGTTTGGGAATTCTTTTTACTTGCATGTGGATGTAGGCGTTTCATTTCTCTGCATAGTTAAAACTCTCCACATTAGGGTGTTGGTGCCCTTGTGTCTGGAGAGTGTAAGCTCCAAAGAATTTGTTCAGTGATTCAGGAAATGTGTGGCACAGTGAGTTTGCTCCCTTTTGAGGTGTTTGTTGGCCAAGGCTGATCCTGACAGTTCTCCAGGGAGCGTGCTCAGTAGGCCTCTTCAAAGAGTCCTACCTCCCAAAGCAGGAAGTCCAGCCCTGTGCTGCTTGGAAACAAGATGAGGCAGACAGGAAGGAAGGTAATCCATGAACACACAACATACACACACACATGTTCAGCCATGTCCGATCATTCCCTCCTGACACCCACAAAAATGTGTATTCCTTGGACCCCACCGACATTTAGTGTGATTTATTTTGTGATTCGAGCTGTTAAAAGCCAAAGTGATCACAAGCAGCTTGGTGTAGATCACTCGGGTTTCCTGTACCGCAGCTGTGTGCAGGTGAATATGTGTGTGCAAAGACTTTAAAGAGCAGCTTTGCCACAGTAACAGCATGCAGCCATGTGGCCACATTCTTGCCTTCTAAAATAACCTGAAAATTGTATGAAATTTGGTATGCACTATCAAGTATGATGGATGGGAAGTCAGTTTTGGAGCTAGATTGATTTATCTGTCCCTGGCAAATGTAGCCCAGCACATCAGTTGCACAGTTTTGGAAACAAGTGAATGTATCCGATTGTTCTTCATGGCAATAATTTTGCGTCCTGCTGCTAAGCTGTTCCACACAACACCTACCTTTCAGAAATAGATTGATGACTGATTTTTTTTTTTTTTTTTTGACTTCTTAAATAAGACAACTGGGATTCGGGGTTTAAAAAATGCTTTTGAAAGCCCACTAATCCAACCACTGTCTGTTTGTTCATGAAGAGATGAACTGACTCTTAAGGCTCAGGCTTAATTCAGCTGTTCTAGCTGAAAACCACTAGAGAGCACTCTTCAGTTGATTTTCCATGAGTGAGGGATTGACTCATTCTGTGGCTCAGAGCTGAGTGAGAATGTGGCTGGAACAAAAATCTGTTGTAGTTGCCAATGGAATCAGTAGCCTGGCTTCCAGTGTTAGACCTAGCCGGGTCCTGCTCATATTATACGCTATGTGGTAATACTATGGCAGCAGGAAAATTAGTCTTTGCGGTGTGGTGTCAGTGAGGCAAAGATTAGCTGTTTTTATTGTTGTAAGATGACCTTGTGTGGAAGCTGGAGAACTATAATATAAGACACGAAGCCAGGTCACTGAGAATTGAAAAATTCCACTTATTCACTGCAGTACAAGAGGAACAAATTGTTCTTAAAACCACCACATTTTGACTCTGTGTCAGGGCTCACTTTCAATTCAAGTATTCCACATATTTTCATTTCATTTTAAAACTAAATTTCTTTTCCTATAAAAAAAAAATCCAAAACCCAGAAAACCATTTAAGCTTCTCTATAATAAACTCTCCCCTGGTAACCTCTCATCCGCTTACCAGGCGAGGTGCAGTTCGTCTTCAGCATCCTATTGTCTTTGACCTGTAGAATAATCTGAAAATCTGACTGTGGAACATGGTCAACAACATCATAATATAAGATGATAAGAAGCCAAAGCCTTGGAGAGCTCTTACATTTCCTCACAACATCGGGAAACTGTGGCCAACACCTGATTCCAATCATATGTGATCATATGTGATTATTAGCATCTGTCGGTGTCCCTGCTCGCTCTCTCCCTCCCACACACACATACACGTCATGTATAAATGCAGACAACAGTTTGTTAGGCACAATCAGAAGATGGTTTGCAGATTATTCCTAGCACTGGTATAATGTAATAGTTTTTTATGATGGGTTGTCCAGAGATTTTATATTAATATCTTATCCAAATCTTTGCAAACAAATCAGTAGAAATTCTGAGAGCTGTACTGTCATATCCAAGTTTTACCTAAAAAGAGCCATGGTCACATTTACTGTTTGCTTTAAAAAGAAATACTCATTGATGTCTTCAGATTTTGTTAATCAAAAACCAACAGGTTCATGTGCTCGTTTGCCCACTTGGTTGGTTTGGATCCTATGATCTTCAAGGACTGTTTTCTTAAGACATGTCCTGATCTGGGACCAGTGTGGCCCACTGAAGTTCACGTACAGTTTGGCCACTATGTCTGATTATATATTTTGAAAATGCTTGGCCAAAGATCTTACCTACATTGAAATGCTGCTGCTTCAATATTAAAGTTGCTGGGAGCCAGTGCAGTACTTAAAGTAACTTTTTTCAGTTATTTGACACAAAGTTTATTTACAGTATTTTGCTATTATTAACTTATTTGAATAATGCCATTTGAAATTAAAAAATATTTATTTGGGAAAATTATTATTATTGTTGTATGATTTAGTCCCCCATCCCAAGCTACTACCACAAATAGAATCTAAATCTGTGGGAAGCACTGTAAATTATAACACACTGATGTTTCTAATTAGCCAACATTGGTAGACTATCCATCCATCCATTTTCTGACGCTTATTCGGAGTCGGGTCGTGGTAGCAGGTTTAGTAAGGTAGCCCAGACGTCGCTCTCCCCACCATTGTGTTCCAGCTCCTCTGGTGGGATTCTGAGGCGTTCCCGAGTCAGATGGCCTGGCCTCCTGGTCCTGGAGGCATCCTGATTCCCGAACTACCTCAGCTGGCTCTTTTTGATGTGAAGGTTTTGAAGGTTCTACTCCGAGCTCCTTCCGGATGTCCGCACCTTATCTCTAAGAGGAAGTCCAGCCACCCTATGAATAAAACTCATTTCGACCACTTGTACTCGCGATCTTATTCTTTTGGTGCTCGTGACCATAGGTGAGGGTTGGATTGTAGACTAACTGGTAAATTTAGAGGTTTGCCTTTTGTCTCAGCTCCTTCTTCATCAGGACAATCCAGTGCAACATCCACATTACTGCTGATGCTGCCCCTATCCGCCTGTCAATCTCACAGCTCGATTTTAGCCTCACTCATGAACAAGACCCCAAGATACTTAAACTCCTTCAGTTGGGGCAGCAACTTAGTCACAACCTGGAGGGAGAAGTTCACCGTTTTCCAGCAGAGCATTGGTGGACTAGTAACATTAAAATACTGCTTTGTGTTGAGCAGAACACGTTTATTATAATAATAATAATCACCTTTATTGGCCAAGTATGTTACACACAAGGACTTTGTTTGCGGTACAGAACCGAGGCAGCCATCTGCGGCGCCAAGTCAACTGATGGCTCTAATCATCAGGGGCAACTTGGGGGTTCAGTGTCTTGCCCAAGGACACTTCAACCTGTAGACTGGAGGCACCGAGATTCGAACCTCCGACCTTCCAGTTGGGAGACGACCGCTCTACCCACTGAACCACAGACATGTTACTGCATGTACTTATAACTGATCAGAAAAATTTAATGCAATTGCAGTGAGCTACTAAACACTACTTGCATGCTTCCACAGAGGCTGATTACATGCTGTGATTTGGTTCTTGGCTGCACCAGTGGGAGTGAAAGAAAGCAGTAGTCTTGTTTACTGGCTCCTATCAGTCTGTCAGCAGGGCAAAAGACTATCTCATTTTCACAGTCATGAAGTAAATTAACCAGATCTGAGCATACAGAGAGCCTGGGTCATCTCAGTAATTCTGGAATAGGTGCTTTGCTTATTATATTTTATTTAATTATATACGCCACTTTGCTTTTTCCCGCTCTTTTTTCCCCCTTCCCTCCTCCTCATATTCACCCCCACTTGTCTTCAGCACAGTAGCAGAGGTAAGGGGCTCCCACAGGCCAGTGAGACCCAGGTGAACATGGGGTCACATTGGGTCACACTGTCAGACAGAGACTGATGGAGGGCCCTAATCCTGCCAGTGTCACAAAGATGGATCATATGATAACACACACATTCATGTACAAATGTATATTGAAGGTTGCAGCAATGCAAACATGACAACAGAGAAGCATTTTACAAAACCTACATACTGTATCGTATGCGGGCATGCATGTACTCCCTTACACTCTTTTTTGTTCCATGCTCCCACTTTCTCTCATGCACACACACACACACACACACACACACACACACACACGCACACACACACACCATGCTAGACTGACAGAAACAGGTTGTCGGCAGAGTGAGGGCAGATGTGATTAATGTCCAGCTCATTTATCTGCAGTGTGTGGTGTGTATGCCTGAGTCCACATACTCCTGAGCTTCTCCAACAAACATGCTTTCTCACACATGTATTATTACTACAGTACTGTGCAGTGAAAGATGTGGCTCATCATGAAACAACATTAAGCATCAGTGTTTCTTAAGGAATAAGGCTGCTGTTACTTTAGTTTGTCGACAAGCCCTGTGAGTAGTCATTATGTCACCAAACTTCTAGAAACAGTTATTTCATGAAGACCTGTAGGTTCATTTTTCTGCTCCACTTTCTGATGTGACTGGACCTTTATCTTTTAATAACATCAAAAACGTGTTTCTCACATTCACAGAGAAATGCTGTAATACAAACTCAGCATTCTTAGAGACACATGCACACATACTCTCACTGATGTATATTTTTGCAGTACACAGACACACACTCTAATTTATACTGACACACAGATGGCCCCTGCTCTGACCACAAATGTAGTGTAACCCCTGCTCCCTGCGGTGCAGCCAGAGCTCAGGCTGCCAGTAAAAGCAAGGGATGCTTCATGGCTCAACAATTCGCTGGGTAAATGGAAAGGGTTTGTGTGTGACCTCAAACACTTTCTTTTCTGTCTCTCCCTCTCTCTCCCTGTCTCACTTTCTTTTTCTTTCATTTTGTCCCTTCCAAGTCATCTTGCCTTTCTCCTAATCGGATGTTCTCTTTGGTCTTTTTTTGTGTCTTGTTATACTTTTTGTCTTTCAGTGAACAGATCTGTGGACATTCACCTTTTTATTTATTACTCTTGCTGTGTTTTACATCTTCTTTTTTACTTGCATAGGTTTGTGGCTACTGAATGCAGAGCGATAGTCATTTTTAGCCCCTTTTTCTTTTTCTGTCTCTGAATTTTATGTCGTTTCTCCTCTCAGTAGAGGTGTAATCAACCTCTCCTCCAGCCTGAGAGATGAGGAGCAAAGTGACGACACACGAGGAGGAAGGCTAAACTTCAGCTCGCAAATATGAGCAGTAGGAAGAAAAACTCTGCATTTCTTTAAAGTGTGGTGTAGTGGGTTTATTTGGTAACCGACACGCTGAAATTGAGCTTAAATTTTGGTTTTGCCTAAAAGGTATTAATGGCATTAAAGACATTACTTCATGGGGAAGTGGCTTCTGTTTGGGCAGCGTGCAGAGATTAAAAGTCAGTGATCAAAAAACTGAATTATTACATCCTTGTTTGATCCAGATGTGATTCATGTACTGTACATGTGATTTAGTGAAAGACAGCTGCTGCTGCTGCTGCTACTATCTGAAGTTTTCAAGTAAGAAGCGCTCCATATAGAAACACAACGTATACATAGAAACACAGCACACATTGAAAAAGTAACACAATTCCTCAGTCAGTGTTTCCTATGAGAAAAAGAGTACTTGTACTTTTGAAGTTTGATTCTGAAATTTTATATTGTGTTTTACCACAGTGAGAAAACCTCAAGAGGCGTGAGAGACTGAAAAACCGATATGAGTCCTCAAAGATGAGGAAAGTCCAGCCAGATGGATTTTGGTGTGTAGCATTAACATACACACACCGGGATCAAGGGTCCAGTGAGAAAGGGTTAGGGTTAACTTTCCTCTAAAGGGTGTCAAAAAAACGAACTAAATTGGGTGTTAGAAAATGCTAAGGAGCTGAAAAAAGGTCCTGGGTGCCCAGCTCCCCTGTGCGGGTGCTCACGTTCTATTTTACAGACAGTGTCCCTTTAAAAAGCCCCACGTCTGGAAAGCCCATTAGATGTGCATATAAAATTTCCCCTGTGATTAATAGTTGATGAGGCAGGGTTGGTTGGAGGGTACTACCAACATGTGGCCAGCAGGGCTCCTCCTCTACACTCTCATGTTACACTCCATAAACTTGCCACTATTTCCCACCTCTACATTTAAAAAGGAGGAGGGCTCACTTGTCAAGAATGCCTTAGAAGAGTTGTGAAAACAGCAAGCTCGAGAAGGGGAGTCATGCAGTTGCAGATGCAGCTCTCCTGCCTAGCCACAAAGCAGTCAGATCAGTCAGGGGGAGAGGGTGTGTGAGTGCAGTACAGAGGGAAAGTGTGCAAGAGTGTGTGTGGACTAGAGGCTCCAAAAGACGTTGCATACACTCCCAGAGAGAGAGGGAAGCACGCTGTCACAGGAAGGCGTCTGTCCTCACGCAGTCTGGGCTGTGGAAGAGTCAGCAGCCTCTGACAGAAGTCAGTACTCCAGCGGTGGATGCAGTGAAACGATGATGTGCATGTAGTCAGCAGAACTGGATATTTCTCAAAAGAGAAAGATACAGGTTTCCAGTCCGCACTTATTTTCTAGGAGGGGTTTTTAAACTTCTCAACAAGGAAAATACTAAGACGTTATTATTCAAGACTGTGTGAAGTGTTTTTGCATCACCATGGATCAGCCAGCTAGCAGCTGCATGCGGAGCGCCCACCCCAGCAGCCCCATCTGGGGTTGCATGAGGAACCCTCACTCAGGGGTCCCAGGAGCCAATCTACAGTCGCCCTACCAGCAGGCCCCTTTCTCCCTCCACCAGAAGCCCGAGTTCCTGGCCTACACAGACTTCTCCAGCTCCTGCCTGGTGCCGGCCGCGCCGCACGCAGCCTACCCCCGTGACGACAGATTATACCAAGAGAGCCAGGAGGGTTACCAGAGAGCTGACTGGCCATTCAACCCATGTGAGGCACGGGTGAGGGCGCCCGAGGCCTGTCCGCCCATCGTCGCACCTGCAGTAGTCGGTGGCGGTGGGGGTGGAAGGCCCGAGCTGGACAGTGTCAGCGGAGAGAGGCTGCCAGGGCCCGTGCCCGGGTGCCTGGAGGGGGAATACTCGCCCCAGAGCATGGCATCGGCCGACTCGGACAAGAAGAGCTCCAATAAGAGGAAGAGAGATGTCACAGGTGAGCCAGGGTTACATGGGAGTCAGTAAGGGTGTGTGGAAAAAGAAGAATATAGGCACAAAGAGAGAATCCAAAACTCATCACAGGAGGCTTAGAGAAAGAAAACGCGCAGTAATAAAATATACATTTGGGAGCATTAAAAATGATAATGAACATTCCTCCTCTTCTGTGTAAAAATAGATGTGAAAATATTTCTACAGCCTTTGTTCCTCCATTAAATCTAAAAGATCTTGAGTATGTCAAGGTTAAGAATCTCTTTCGTGCCCTGTGTCACAGATGGCACTGACATAAATTTGTATTTCCTCACCAAACTGGTCTTCACTCAGCAGATTGTTGTGTGAAAGGTGAGTAGGTGACAACTTTTGTGTTCAAGACACATGCTTTTAGTAGCACTTGCATCCTCTTATTGTTCCAGAGCTTTCAGAAGACTGAAGTGATTAATGAGGCATCTGAAAGTTTCACGGCGTTCCTGTATCCGTTGGAAGTAGGCCATTGTTTTGTCACATTCAAGATGCTGGTAACAAATGACATCAGGCCTGTGTGGGGAAAATTGTTTGAATGCATCACAGGTGCTTCTGGCCATTTTAAATTAATTTTTATAGACTCAAGAGCAAACCTGCTGTAGTTGTGAATTAGCAAGTTCTTATTATTTTCAGAAATTCTAACGTGTAAAAATACTGAAATTAAACAATAGTGCAAGTAAAATAATTTTCAGCAAATATTCTCTGTGAATTGAGTTTTTGAGCTGCGTCACTCATCACCAGTTAACAAAATAATGTAATATTTATTTAACAGGCTGTTATACCCAACAATGTTTGTGTCCCTAAATATCCCTTTGTATTATACAAATTGTGTTGTTGAAATAGTATCACTGTATGTTTTTCGATGTGTAATTTATTTCCCCTATCATAGTTTACATTTGCTAAGAACCAAAAGTATCTGATATCCATGACAGACTTATTCCTCGGAGTATTACAGGTAGCAGGAACAGTAATGGCAAGAGCTACAGGCTAAATGAGCTGTTTGTATTTCATCTGACTCTATAGGTGTAAACGTTTGAATACGCTGAATTTTACGCTGGTACAGTGAAAATGAAACAACATCCAGCACATCTGGAGGGTTCACATTTCTTCTGTAGAGGCTCTTTTTTCAAGCCAGGAAAATTTCAGCCTGTACAATTTGTGTTCTTCACAAAGATGATCCATGCAATGAGGCGCTTGCACCTCTGCAACTACAGTAACAGCAGAGAAATGATTTACAAAAATTACTGGACATTTGTTTTCTTCTAGTAAAACTTTGCAGGGCCTAAACAAATGTGTATATTTTAATTGGGATTTGGTTGTGTGGACAACAGCTCAATAATTATTTGGAAAATTACTTGACCAATGTGGTCAACAGGCATGAGCCCATTTTGGGGTGGGGGTGGGGTGGGGTGGAGTGCAGACGCCCCCTATTACCTTATTGTAACCTCCACTCACTACGGTGAAAACATGCCAGACCACGTCTGGTAAAATCACTTGCCTGTGAGACCACTTCTTGCATTCTTCTCCATTGACATTTTCCTGTCGTTAGGCTGTAACACAATCTCCCACTGAGTGCATGCAACATGTCTGACCACTACATCAGCCCTTGGTTTCAGAAAAGAGCCATTCAGTCTTCTATTGACTAGTTGGTAGAAGAGCATATGTTAGGAAAATGTCCTGAAGGCATTCACATTACGGTCAGAGCTGCGTTACAGTCTGCTTGTGTCCCTGTGTGTTTATACTGATTTGGAACCGCAGTGCACTCAGAGACGTTTACGAAAACCCTCAACTCAAACTGGTATCTGACCCTGACTTAAGTCCAAAGTTTGACCAATATTATTTATCACGCCGTACAGTGTATAACAGGGACGTTGATATAAACATGCTGCTGTGAGAAAATCTGGCATTATTATTACTGTTGTTAATATTATGAACAGTATTTTGAATATTTGTAATTTCTGGTAGAGTGAGAATAAAACCATATGAAACATAAGGTTCTTAGTTATCATCAAACAAACCATTAACATTTTTATTTTTACCCTCCCCTTACTGTTTACTATCAGTGCTGTAAATAATAATAATAACGTAATAAATATTTTGTATCACACTGTAATGTAGTTGTGAGCAAACATGCGGAGATATTAAAATATCCACTCAGTTTAAGTGTTCGTTAATGTATTTTTCATTATCAACAGCTGCATGATGACAGTTGAGCAGATCCTTTGGTTATGACACATTTATAAACAACTTGTGTACAAACCGTCATGTGTTGAAATCTCATATGAGGGCAAAGTATGTATATTACCTATTTTTATACATTAATGATTGTTTGAATAATCTTATACCAACTTACAAACACATTACAGAGCGTTAGTGTGTGTTAATTAACTCATTGCAGCTTTAATAAAGCAATAAAACCTCCTAATTCTCTGTGAACCCAGCTCCCACTTTTACACAAACAATGTGTGATTAGTCAAGCCTGTAATTTTCACCTGGGATTTTTGCTTTAAAACAATCACAAATTTTTACAGCAGCTTTAATTCAGTCCAGATTAAGACAAACTACTTTTGCAGCATCCACCCATAAAGGCACCAAATGCTGTTTGTCTTAGGGAGCCTGCGGGGTGTAGAAGCCCTGTCCTTGTAAGTTTACGGCCTCTGGCTGTGCAGGATATTTATTGGGGGCCTGTTTAGTGTGAGCCAGTATGTTGCCCTGCCAGGTGTTCAGTCTGACTAAACCTGCCTGACACAGCTCCAGACCAGACCTGCCAGCACAGCCAGGGCAGTGCATCATTACTGATATTTAGGCAACAGTAAGAAGCACGGCACATGAGCGCTCCAGCACACACATCAGCCGTTTGCACACATTAAGCCGATATGCACAAACTAGACACTGGTCTGCCCAGTCACGTCTGGACCAAGTCCTGCAGTCTGGCCTGGTGCTCTGGCAAGCACCAAGCAAAACTTCTCAATTGACAAATTGGAACCATTTCCTAGAGATTACATCAGCTGCTAGTGTTGCTACTAATGCACAATTATTACCCAGGCTCCTTCTTTTTAATATACAAGAAAGATTTGACTGAAAATTAAATCAGCTGGCTTCATTTATCCTGGTAAATGAGGTTTAAAATGTTGCCATTTTCTAGGAAATACGAATGCAGCAACATCTATAAATCTCAGCCATGACAGTTCTTCTTATGAAACGCTGGATAGTCTTTACTCACATGAAAACAAATAAACTATTCAAATACTGCAACTGATGTCAGCGTAGTTCAAGTAATCACCGGTCGACCCTTACAACTGACTGCAGCATTCACAGGCATATCTCTAGCTTTTTTCGGAGGTATTTACTGTCACGTAGATTTGAGTTAGTGTGAATCTCCATGGGAGCCCCGGAGGGAAATCTTCTGACACTCACACACCCGTGTAGCGCTCAGACCCGCACACATCCGCACCTTTGTTCTTTTGTTAGAGGCTTTAACGATGTTCCGCTGCATTCCTCTCCTAACTCAGTCCCTCTGTGGCTGCTGTGGTGGCCCCTGCCCTGTGCCATCCCACCTCACATGCACCATTAATGAATGTAAACATGCGCAAATTTGTAGTTACACACAGATAAACACACAAATAAAAGCAGGAAGCAGGCAAATGCATGCACATAATCACCACCAGTGGGGGAAGCTTACTTTTGAAATATAATTAGTTACTAGTTACCCTGTAAAAAATGTAATAAGTAATGTAACGGTTTTAATGACTTTGTAAAAGTAATGTAACTTATTTGCTTTTAATTAATTTTTGATTACTTTTCTAAAAAATGTTTCAAACTGAGCAATAAAGCTGAGAAGTCCTAACATAAATTTTAACCAGGCAGTGTAAACCTCACAACAGTACTCGACACTTATTACTGTCAAACTTTTATTAAAGGTTCTTCAACATAACCTCAGTTACATAATGTATTGCTGTGGAAACGTTGCAACTTAGTGGGCACCAAGATTTCAGAAGGAAAATGCTGTTGAATTTCCAGCAGTGAAAAGTGTTTGTCCGACAACATGGCCATCCGCCTTGGCAGCCGCACGGCTTAGAGCAATATGTGTTGATTTGGTTGACAAACGAGAGGCGGTGCAAACTCAAACAAGAGAACCAATCAAAAGAAACATTCAGAATTTAACACCCACTGCCAGATGAATGGAGCCTGTCCACACACAGAGTCAGCGCCGTATTAACCACCCCTACCCGTGATGGTATTTTCTGTCCCAGCAGCTTTGCTGACCTGCACTGTCTGGAAATATGTCAAAAGAAGGCGAAAGATGCGAAGCAACAGAACGAATGTTTTATATAAGATGTGACTCCTTTGTAATCACCAACATTGATTAGTAACTACAGTGGCATTTTGGCTTAGCAACTGTATACAATTAGATTTATTTTGTAATTTAATTACAGTAACTAGTTACTCCCCAACAGTGATCACCGCACACGCCCACATATTGCTGGTGATGAGGACTCATAAGTCCAGGGTGGTCTCCTTTTAGAGTGCTGATCTTGTGTTTACTGTATGAGGGGCCTCCTAAAGACTAAAGACTTTTTGGAGCTGTGGTTTGTTGGGTGGAAAGGTCTGTTAGTAGTCGAAGAGAAGCTGGTCATAAATGAGTTAACTGTTTTTAACATGAAAATAAAAGCTCTAAAGGTCAAGAAGTACAGTCTGTGTGACAGATGGACTTGGTGCATATTCACCTGTTGACTAGTGATAGTTGTAAAAACATTTATTTCCCTATTTGGAAATGTATTGAGAAAAGTGCACAAATACACCTTCCTGTTAAATAATGTGAAAAATATTTTCATCTGGCAACAACAGCCTTGATGAAAACTAGTTGAGAATAAAGGGGATAAGTGGATAAACACTCATGCAAGTCACAGCAAAATGCATTTTTCTCTCCAGATATCCAGGAGTCCAGTTTTAAGGTGGACTCCAGCTGCAAGGCTCGGAAAGAACGCACTGCGTTCACCAAGGAGCAGCTGAGAGAGCTGGAAGCAGAGTTCACCCACCATAACTACCTGACCAGGCTCCGCCGCTACGAGATCGCCGTCAACCTGGACCTCACAGAGAGACAGGTACACATGGTTCTCATGCTGAGCTTCCCTGCAGGGAAAACAATAATCATCGTTTGTCATTAACTGTTCCTTTATTTATTGTTCTTTGAAGCCTAAAAGGAGTGTGTTGTGTTTTCATTAAAGTAATGAGACACAAATATTTTAAAACTGATACCTGACTTTTGAGTAGACTGAGTAGATCAGTCAACCCCTAGATTATCTAAAAATCTAGTGGAAAGGTTTATGTTATAAGAACCAAAAAAATATGGCAAGAAATTGCTTCCCAAAATTAAATATTTAGTGTTTTTCCTTCCTCCCATCATACTGTTCCAACAGTAAAGTTCTCTATATAAAAGGTTTGCCAAAAAACTGATAAATAAAATCACCACAAAAATATAGCCTCATATTTACACGGAGCATAAAATGAAACAAAATAAATAAAACAAATCTTCCAACAAGGTAATCACCCCTTATTTATGATGGACACTGTTCTGACCGTCTTTTCTTGTACTATACTATAATAATGGCATAAACACAGATGAAGTTGAATCACAATGACCCATTTTTTTCCGGAATATTTTTCATCCTGTGGTTGTAGCGGAATGACATGCAGCCTTAATGAGTGGGCGGCGGCTCCAGACTTGATGAAATCGGCCGAACATGTGTCGATGCTGCTGGATAAAGCCCCAGTCTGCCTGTCAGGCCTGGTGTCCCAGCTCCTTCTAATGAGGCCATGGTGCCACAGTGACCACACATATTGCTGCCTGCTGCTAAATCTATTTGGCAGATCTCTGAAGCACACACGCACACGGTCTCACACAGCCAGGTTCCATCTTCACTCAGAGCTCAGCGTTTTCCAACTCATCCTACATGCTCTGGCATTTTGCCGTCCGCTCAATCAGTCATGATGAGCAGAAGAACCCGGAGACAAAGAGGCTACAGTACGTGGAAACAGATTCATCGGAGTCCCTGAGTTGCAAGGGGGCTGGGGGGGTGCTTAGTGGGATGTGCAGAGGTCATCCAAAGCTTCCTTGACCTCAGAAATTCAAGTCAGACTGCACACAGGTTGGATGGCTACAGGGAAATAAAGCCATGAGCTGCTACAGACAGCTTATGGAGTGAATTTAGACACTTTATCACTTTGCGCGATTTTAGTTTTGCTGGTGATATTCTGTATTTTTCTTTATGATGACACATCCAGTAAACAGGCCCAGACCCTCTGTGCCTTGGAGTTCTTTCCAACTAAAAAACTATTAAAAACGCATCATGGATTCACACTGGGCCACATGTTCCTTTATCACCGTGAGCACAGGCACTAGTTTATTTTCAGTCACACACATCCTCCTGCTGTAAATACTCACTAGTAAGCCAAATGTGAATTAATCTGCTGCTGAAAATAGCCTCCAGTAAATACACAGCTTAAGTAACATTTACTAAAAAACTGCAGTGCTTAAAAAATGTCCCCTTTTTAAAGATTGGTGTAGGGAGTGGGGAGGTGAGAAAGTACTGAGAGACGGAGCTGGTTTTAGGCTTTTCACTGCATATTTTGACAATACTAAAATACTGAATAACACCAACCTTCAGCATTAACAACCAGTAATTGACCATTGATCGATTTACAGAACATTCAGTTCACTTTGTCAGGAGCCAGTGTAATCACAAGCGTTGGATTTACTTTAACACTAAGCCTTGGCTTGTAGAAGACACTGTGCATTCTGTCACCAAATTTTATGACTTTAAGAAAATCTTCTATCACAGACTTACAGCCTCTTCACTCTTCTTTTCTTTTTGCTGCTGTGTTTTCTCTATATTTTCCTTGACTCTCAGGAAGTGTGTATTTTTGTTTCTTTTCTTGGCCGAACAGTGAAAGCATGATATCATTCTCATTTCAGAACTGTGTGAACATACAGATGAGCACGATCTGTCCTGTGTAGGCTGACATCCTGATAGTTGACTCCTTTGACCCGCTGTCTATACGATACTCTCTGCCTGCACTTGGAGAGGTTTCGGAGCCAGAACCGAATGCTTTGCACTGACAATTCCTGCTCTTTGCATGGCTAGTTCAAACCAAGCCAATTTATATTCTGTGCTGGGAGATTTGTGGGGGATTATCTCTCTATTTTTCTGCTGATCATGCTGTAAATTCTGTTAGAAATTGCCAAACAGAGAGAAAAACCACAGTGATGCTGATACAAGTTCAGAGTGAACAAATTCATCCTGCCCTGGGACTGTGGAGTGTTATCTGTAACTTTTTGTTTTATGTCCTTACATAGAGTATTTATTTGTAATATTACTGTTTTACACTAGTAGGGCTGTATCTATATGATTATTTACATTATAAATCCACCTTGTGATTTTCTTCATTTATTAGTTAATCATTTAGTCTGAAAATGTCAGAAAATAGTGTAAAATGTTTATCAGAATTATCCCGAGTCTTCAAATTGCTTGCTTTGTCCAACCAACAGTCCAACATCTAAGGGCCAGACTGTCATATAAGACCGGGGAATAGTCACATTTGAGAGCCTGCAGCCAGTGAATATTTGACAAATTTGCTTGAAACATAAGTTTAACATTTAATAGATTATCAAAATAATTGTTGATTAACTTTTTATTATATGAGTTCACTTGTACCCACTAGTGTACAGGCATTGCTGATTTGTTACAGGCAAATCTAGCTGAAATCAATAAGATTTTATTGAGATTTCATTAAGCATAACCCTTAATTGAAATTTACTCTATCAGCATTAATTGTTGACACCATAAGTTCTAATTGCCTGTGCTTTTGCAACAGGTGAAGGTCTGGTTCCAGAACAGGAGGATGAAGTGGAAGCGAGTGAAAGGGGGACAGTCGGCTTCACCCAACGACTTGGAAAATGACGACATAGACTCTGCTGCCTCGCCCAGCTCTGAATGAACAAGGGGGGCTGACATTAATTAAAAGAGGTGCAAGCGACACAAACACCGGGGTCGACCGGACACCAGTACAACACAACCTCTGCTCATGTTTTGTTTAGAAAGCTGCAAGAATCAAATCACTCTGGAGACGATGTTTTTTACTCCCAGGAAGAAATCCCTGAGCATCTCCTTTGTTGTTGACTTCTGTTGTAAATAGTTGATTTTTGTCCATAACGAACTGCATTTTGATACCTTAACGATAAATACTCTTACAGTCATTGTAGATCAGTGACAGAGTCAGCAGCTTCAAGGCCAGTGAGACATATCAGACCGTGATGTGATTGTGTTTGAGCGCAGCCCCTTTGGTTCCAATATCATAATCATGGCCTTTGACGCTTGACTACAACCACCTGGGAAACTCAGACTGCGTAAGTGTTGCCAAGCCATAAGTGCCTCAGAATCAGATGGGCTTTTTTCATTTTGTCAGTTTCTTTTTCCTAGAATATAGTTTTTTTTTTTCTGTCAAGCATTTTTTACCATTCATTCCTTTACATTTTGAATGTTATAGATAAAACACAGATGTTGCCTGTTTCTGCAAAAAGAATAAATCATCTGCTGCAAAATGGGGAAAATATCTTGATAATTTCTTCCACCCATAACAACTGAGGAAGGACTGGACAGCAGGTAGATGTGTTGACCTTTCTTTGTCTGACAACAACTGCTAAGCACTGAGAACACAATGACTGAGTAGTTGTTGTTTACGCCCATGTGCTTTTGATGTTGGCAGCTGACATCAAAGGTAATAAATCACGTATGTGCGCGGTTGTGTACTTGTCCGTTTAAGCACGGAACAGTATTTTTGCCTGGTTCCAGAGATGTGTTGCCCACATCTCAGAGTGTGTTCTGCTCAGTGATGGCTATTACGCCATTTGGAAAAAGGACTAGCCAATCAGACATTTGTAGCCGCGATTAATAATGGGGACATGATTTTTCTGTGCCAGAGGCAGACGAATGGCAACAGAAAAATGGTTGCAAATGGACTCAAGTATGTGTTATTTCACTTGTTTATAATACTGTAGGGGCACTAATGCAAATACAGTGCTGTCACACTACTCTGAAATGTTTTTTTTTTTGTTGTTGTTGTTTTATTTTGTTGTTTTTTGTAATGGAAGAACAGTTTCTAGTGTCTATAAACCATAAAATCACCATGGTGGGTATTTGGCTCTCTGCCAAATGTGTAATCAAGCTGCTGTTTGCTAACACATTCACTATGTCAACATTGTTTTTACAGATTGTTTTTGCTATTCCCAAGGAGCAAAAAGAGGAAAAACAAACTGCTCCTGGCATGTGTGATGTCCTACTGGATAATGACAGTTCATTCATGATATCACTCATAATAAACGTGCCAAAAGTAAAAGTGCATTCCTGTGTGTATCCTGCAACAAAACTTATCAAGAGGGATTATGCTGAACTAATGTGTGATATGGGTGGTCTCTCAGTGCCCCTGTGACATGGCAGGCTTCAAGAAAAAATCCCTTCCAATGATGGCCCAATTATTTTAATTAATATTTCACATGGAAGTCATCTATCCCTGAGGTCAGGTCGAAATCAGCTCCCATCAACGCCCCCTAGATCCTGTATATAGCATTTTAATCCTTAAGAATGTTTTCATAGTGGCAAGTGTTCTGCTGGAGACACGGCTCTGATTGGTCTGAAGTGACCTGACAAGTACCGACAGAGCTCTAAGTGGACGTGTGTGTGTGGCTGAGAGTTCTTTTTTTGCACACCATCGCTGTCATTCCAGTCTGCTCACAAAGGGCCATTAACCTGCGAGGTGGAGTCGGGCTCAAAAGCTAAAGTATTTGGCCCCTCCATAGTATTTTCAAGGGAAGCATCTGGATGGGGCCAATTTGATCTCCACCTGAGTGGAACCTTGACAAACCCACGCACAGGGCCTCCTGGACCAGAGGAAAAAAAGAAAAACGCTAGCTGGCTGACCACTTGCGTATGATGGAAAAGGGAAATAATAGGTGGGTATGGGTGAAAAGACGACTTCTCAAGTACAGGATGTTGTTGTAGCAGGTAGCCAGTCATCCAATTTCCTGCTTCCCAAAGAAAACAGGAGCTCGCGCATAGGAGTCCCCAGACTTACAATGGTGGGCCTATGCTCAGACTCCGGCCAGCCAAACAAAGCCTTCGGAGGTTACTGCCCTTTCTGCTGGTCTGCAGGGACTGGAGCTGGAGGGAGGGCGGGGCGCCTGTTCCACTCACACACGCAGAGTCGGGGTCAAGTGTTACTGTATGTCTGACCCCTCTGGGCCCCTGCTGCAGCTGCTGGGGGTGGAATAACTCCAAGTTAGTCCTGTGCCTGTTTCCCTCCTCGCTCACCCTCTATTAGGGCCTATTATTGTATTAGCGGTAATAGTAATCAAAATAAACCATGTCCAATTGTAATGATAGTATTAATATCAGCAGTGTAAACTAATGAAACTGGAATGTTGTTCTTTTGCTGTCGAAGTTCCTTTAAAAGGCATAGGGGTGGCCAAATTTATGGATCAGATTTAATTTGGGGGTATTGTGATTGTGGGACGTAAAGGTTTGCCAAAAGGTTTCACTCATCTTTAGGAAAGCAGTTCATCTAGGAAGTAGATTAAACTGTCTCATAAAAGTATGAATTCAGGCAAGGCATTACTCAGAAAAGCAGTCTTTATCGCTGTACCCAAGTTGACAGTCGCACGGAATTTAAGACAGTGGCAGACACCAAAAATAAAGGATGGATATAGTCCCAGCAAAATCTCCTCAGCTGTGATTATAAAAGCAGGTTCAGCTGCAGGAAGAATTCTTGAAATAACTCCACTTCTTTGAATACAACCTTCGCTGTGGGCAAAGAGCAAAAAGAAAACATTTGTCAAAGTTTGAAGCAGTCGGTGACTTCACCCTCACCACTCAACAGAAATATTCTTAAAACAGGCTTTCAGCATACAGAAGGTATTGCCACTAGAAGAACAGATTGACAGAATTCAGCCAAATGCTTTCAAGTAGACCACATCACCAGTGCTAAAAATGCTGCATCTGTGGACAAATGTGGTTACATGAGCAGCTGCACTGCAGCAGTTCCAGTTATGAATCATTCAGATGGATAAAATGGTATTATGCCATCATCTTGCAGGCAACATATACATATTTTAGGACAGTTTTTTTTTTAATTAAAAACATCTTTAAGGAATTTGAAACAGGCTAATTTTGTTTTATTTTTATGCCTACTGTCTTTCTGCAGGTCTTAAATACACTGCAAACATCTGTAGCCTATGTGTAATATATGGAGTAGCCTAAGGATAATGTTGCTGTGTTTTTGTGAGAGAGTAGATGGTTTTTAAACCCAACATTTCTTTGGATTAGCCTAATTTTGATAGGATAAATTTAGGGATTATGTGGCAAGAATTTAAATGATAACAAACAGTGTTGGAGGTTAATACTTTTCATAGTAACATAATAATATAATGCATTGCCTCACTCATCCTCCCTAAGAGTGCACAGTTACATTACAGACTTGAGATACAGTCTGTGAGTTTAACTAGCTAATGTTAATTTTATGATGAAAATAATTTGATGACAGACCAAATGAAACTTGTTTTTCTTGGGTTTGTGTGATCTGCAGGCTACAACACAACACCACAGCACTGTCTGTAAACTAACAATTGTTTATGATGTTAGGAGTTAAAAGGTATAATTTAATATCCCAGTGGGATGATCCTTATGAATATCAATTTAATACAGATGATTTAATGACAGCCCAAACACACTGTGCAGGCCGTAATATTAGTCTGGCTGTAATATTAATCATTATTTGTCCTCTGTTTGCATTCTTATTTTAAGCTGTGCCTGTTTTGTTATACAGTGGGTACGGAAAGTATTCAGACCCCCTTAAATTTTTCACTCTTTGTTATATTGCAGCCATATGCTAAAATCATTTAAGTTCATTTTTTTCCTCAATGTACACACAGCACCCCATATTGACAGAAAAACACAGAATTTTTGACATTTTTGCAGATTTATTAAAAAAGAAAAACTGAAATATCACATGGTCATAAGTATTCAGACCCTTTGCTCAGTATTTAGTAGAAGCACCCTTTTGAGCTAATACAGCCATGAGTCTTTTTGGGAATGATGCAACAAGTTTTTCACACCTGCATTTGGGGATCCTCTGCCATTCCTCCTTGCAGATCCCCTCCAGTTCTGTCAGGTTGGATGGTAAACGTTGGTGGACAGCCATTTTCAGGTCTCTCCAGAGATGCTCAATTGGGTTTAAGTCAGGGCTCTGGCTGGG